CACCACCACCTCCTCCACCACCCCGCTGGCGGGGGCTGCTACACCCCTGCCGCCCTCAATGGTGGGCCTCGGCCGCGGCCACCCGCTGCCAACCCCTATGTGCTGCCCAAAGACGGTGACGCCGCGCCAGTGAAAGCAGAAGCGGCCGCGGTGGCCCCGGCCAAGCGGGCGCTCTACGAGGCAGTGTTCCCAGCAGGGGCTGCGGCCGGCGGCGATGCCTGTGGGCCCTCTGCCTCCCCCAAAAGACTCTGCCGCCGCCCCGCCGAGCCCCTGGATGCCGCTGCGCCAGCCGTGGTGGTGGTCTCAGTGAAACATGACCCCTTGCCTCACCTCCTCCCCGAAGCAAATGGGCACAGAAGCACCACCTCACCCACAGTAGTTTCACCTGCTATTGTTTCCCCCACACAGGTAACCGGAAAAAGAAAAAGGAAAAAAAGAAAAAAACCAAAAAAAAAGTGGCAACCCCTCACCCTGCCCCACATAGTCTGCACTGCCCCCCTCCTTTCTTCCCCCAAGGCTGGGCACTGAGGCACACTGCCAGCATTGGGGTGGCTCTTGGGGTCACGCTCACTCTTCAGGCACCCAAAGAGCCCAGACGCGAGTTATCCAACTTACTTGTCCCCACAGTCTCTTCGTTCCTTGCCACTGGTCCGGTGGCCACTCACTGTGTGCCTGGGTGTTGGATTTGAATGGTGCCTGTGTTCTGCCACGTTCCCCCTTGGCAGCACCGACAGCTCAGCCCTATGGGCTCCCCTTTTCCTCCTTTTTATTTATTTCCCCCCTCTTTTATTTCTCTTTTTGCAGGAGATGTGACTTATGAAAGTCGGGCCAGAATAGTAGATAGGGGCATCAGGTATCATTAGTATGTGTGGTGTTCTTGATGTGCTAATGAACTATTTGAATAACCTCAAATGCAGGAAACAGCCGGGAGAATACTCAATTACACACTAGTAATGAGGGTGTAATTTTAAACTTCAGAAGTTAACAAGAGGGTTAATATGGCAATTGCATTCATCTTGTATTTGTTTATTTAAAATAGCTCTGTTTCCTGGCAGTCATCCTTTTTTTTTTTTTTTTTTTTTAAGGCAAATTGTCTTTAGTTGCATTAGTTACCATAGTGGTGAAATATACAGTAAGAGCACAATTAAACGGGTTTAGGTGCAGCTTAGCTGTGGAATGAGCCCAAACTCATTAGATGTGTTTCTTTAAGGTAAAACGGTGTTGTCGAAAACGCTGCTGAGCTGTGCCTTTTAATGTGTGCCTTGCGGAGCCCCCTCTGCTGTGTGCCAGCACGTGCTGCTGCCTGCTCCCCATCCCCTCCAACAGCACTTTCCTCTCGGGTGTTTGAGCGCCGGAGCTAAATTACTTCAATTAAACACTCACTGCACCTCTGCAATTGGCTGGAAGTTTGGAAGTCGTTCTAACTAAATCTGTAAAGCGCATGCAGTTGCGTTGTGCCCCATAAAATACCGCGTTTCAGGCAAGAACTTTTACTGCTGGCTGCCCTACATGATTACAAAACCCCTCTGACATTCTTGTGTCAAGTAATAACAGGGATCGCAGCCGTCTGCCAGAGAGCGCGGCGCTGGGCAAGCACAGGTATATGACATGCCTGAGCTGTTTCCCGAGTGGAAATACCAGTTCTGGACAGACTGACCCTTTCAAACAGTTTGCCAACTAATCAAGCAGCCTGAAGGCTAATTGGGGTGGGGAGGGGGAGGGCAGGGCTCCCGGTGAATGCCTGCATAAGCATCTATGTTCTTTAAGATACCTGTGACTTCTCCTTTCTTCCAGGGAGGCTTTTTTTTGACCACTTGAGTGGAGTACTGTAGCTTGATCTCCTGCTGTGTGTATCTGGTGTCTCTGAATGGCTTAGAGGCTTGATTATGTGCAGATAATGTTTTTGTTCTAGCTCATTATTTCAGGTAAAAGCTAATGCTCCTCGCTGTATTTAACCCTAGATTCTTCCCCTTGCTTTTAATGATCTTGAAAGTAATTTTGAAACTTCGGATATAGTTTAGTTTTTTAGAAGGAGCACCGCACTGTGTGTCTGGTAAGGGGAAGAGGGAACTGGGCAGAGCAGTCAGTGGTCACAGGGCGTGTGTGTCTTTAACCTGTTAAATGAGGTGTCCTGGTACTTTCAGTTGTCAGACTAGAGAACTCGGATCTCTACCCTGGCGCACAAATCCCTTCACACTTGCATAAAGCTTAGGAGAGGAGAAATCCAGCTGCTGTCGTGTTTGTTGTAAAGCCGTGCTTCCTACAGGAAGCCTTTGGAGCTGTAATTCTCATTAACAGCAGGCTGTGGGGAGAAAGGGAGAAATAGCTGAAATAGAGTACACAGGCATCTGCTGTTTTTCTAAGTGTATCAAGAAAGAAGATGAGCAATCAGCAAGAGTACCAAAACTAGAGAGTGTGGGGTTTTGTCAGTGATTATATGGAAATGTTTACCTCCATTCACAATTTCATGAGTTAAACAAGGTGTCCAGTAACTTTTGTACCTGAATCTTGTCTTTGCTGCAAACTTCATTCATTTAAGTCTTTAACAGAAAAAAAAAAAAAAAAAAAAATTCTCCCTTTTTTATCACCAATTTTTCTTGTGTCAGTTTTAAGTTATGCACTTCTGGGATGTGACAAAATGAAAAAATACTGGCTGTGGAATGGATTTCCTTGGGAGAATGTTAATGCTAAACTTTTTCTCTCTAGCTACCTTTTATGATACTTACACTAATCGAGGTCCAGAGCATTTCCTGGGGAAATTAATGACTGGATGAGGTTAATGGCCCAAGGCATTGCCTTAAGCCATTGACTCCCCCAACCGGTCATTAATCTTCAGGAAATGCCCTGACCCTCAATCGTTATTGCTTAATTATAAACAAAGAGTTTCTAGGCCTTTTTACTGAATATATCTCATCAAGTACCATGACACTAAATTCCACTGTTGACAAATATTTCTGATTCCTTGAAAACATGAAGGTCATAAGTTTGTGGTTTATTGGTTGTCTTTGTAATTAGTCTTCCAGGGGTCTGCTGAACTCATGGATTTGTGCAATACTCCGGTGAAAAAGTGGTGGCATAATGTGTGGGTTTCTTAGCATCTTTATACTGTGCTTTTTTTTTTTTTTAATAGTATTAAGTAAAGTGTGGAAGATGAAAGTACTAAATGGGGTGTCTTCAATTTGCATTGACTATCTGAGCAAGAATGTTAATTTTATGCTTTTGTGTTGTAGCTCCCATTTTTTGTTTTAGCCTCAAATTGTCTTTTCAACACAGGCTTTATAGGAGCCTTTTCCAGAGCTCAGGAATGGTACATTAATGTTTGTCTTGATCCAACTATTGCTTTAGGTTTTAGCCTTAAGAGCAGCATTTATAGGGTATTTTAAGCATACAGCACTGCCATCATGGCACAACTTTCTTTTCAGTCCTTATTTGCTCTGAAGTGTAGCAATTTTCCTGCCACTGACAGCAGTACTTCAGTTCAAGTTGATGACAGAGAGATGTAATTTGGCTGTTGTTCATCTCCCATGTTGCTGAAAGATGAACAATAGCGAAAGCTTAAACTTTTGATTCTACAATGTGGTGGTAGCTTTTTGGTTTTATAGACTGGGTACATGCTGAACTTGCTACAGTAGTAATAGCCAAAAATAGGTGTAGGAAGACAGTTTGGCCTCTGCCATGGGGGAGGAGGGTTGCCTGTCACTTGCAAATGCTTTGGTTATGTTTGTTCTGTAACTCTGTTGGGTTTCTCTGGGCTGTTTGTGAAGAATTTATTAGCTATTAAGATATCTACCAAAAGCTTGGTCGTTAAAACCTGAGTCATGTGCATTTGTCATAGCTGTTTTGGGGAATCCTGAAATGCCATTTTTGTTCTTGGTTTTTGCCCTTCTGCTTTAAATTCAGAGTTTTTTTGCTGTCTTTTGATCCGGCACATGTTTTTTCATTGCTTTACGTTCTCTTTGAAAGAGTTACTTTGACCCAAACCAGAAATCTACTTCTGGCTGCAGGTTTTGCAAAAGAAGGCAGAGCAATAGCACGTGAGGAATACAAGTAGGCAGTAGGCACAACCGAGAGCAAATCAAAGGTAACTAACAAGTCTAGTCCTTTTTAGTCTTGGATTTTGGAGGAGGTGGATAAGAATCTGTCTGCTTGATCTTTGATCTGGGAACATCCTGCACGTTCCTTAAACGGCCACAAAAAAAACTTGTGTTTTGTACAAGTATCTCTAGTACTCTGACCAGAATTGTTGCTAGGTGCTTTCCCAGTAAGCAGGGCAGGAGAACTCATCAGGCAGCTTCAGAGAAGGATGCTTAGGATAGTGGTGTAAAGATGCTAGGCTTTATTTCTACCAGGGTAATAGATGGAGCAATATCCCTATCTTAAGGGCCTGAAGTACAGTGGCTATTAAGACTGATGACTGCTAAATACCTTGTTAGTTCTTGTGACAGTGCTACTGTTGTTCAGGTTTCAGAGGTTAGTGCTGGCTGCCCTACTGCATAGTTAGTGCTCTTTTCTTTGACTGCTGGATTATCCCAGGTTGCAAGAAAATCCACAATTTGCTAAGTGTCTTTTTTAAGAGAAGCACTGAGGTTAAAATCGTAGAAGGTAAGGGTTAAAGGAACTTTAATCTATAGTTTAAGAAACAGTATCTACTGTAGAGGCTACTGTTTGTTACTTTGTTACTTATGGAATTTTAAATGATGAAGATGTTTCCTCATCAAAATTGCCCTCAAATCCTTGGAGGGCAGGGGGAATAAGGTAGTAATGGTGTCAAGTATGGACCCCAAAGCTTTCTTACCTATGTCCATAATGAAATGCAGGAATCCTGGCTATTGCTCTTTTGGGTGGAAATCAGTGTCGTTTGTAACTGAGTGCTTCTAAAGATTGCTGAAGAGAGATAGGGTTTTTCTTTTTAAGAAAGTAGGGTATCCCAGGCTACATTCCTTATAATGAACATGAAGCTTGGTAGACGTGTGAGGGTTTCCCAAGATGAGTACGAGAAGCAGAATAGAGATTAGGCTTAGTGATCTCATATACAGCTTTGGGGGCAATGCATGCGCTGAAAGGAGTGAACTGGTTTTTCTTTCCTAGACTGAGGTTGGTCCATGTTGAATCAGCTGTTAGGGAGGGAGTTGATTTAAGGTGACTTGGGAGAGTATTTCAGAGCAGATCCAAGAGTGGTGTTTTGATACATGCATTTAGAATGGTGGCTATGGAGCAAAAGGTCCAATACTGTCTTTGTAGGTCCTCTTGGTTGCATTGGCATGATGTGTTGGAAATATTAAAATGTGGAACTATTTCAGCTGGTGATTTATACTATCACCTAATTATTAAATATATTTTTCCTTTTTAGAAGTCAAACTCATTTTATTTAATTGCGTCACATGAGCTACTGAGAGAACTTGCTGTGT